CTGCCTTCAAAACATCATTGTAAAAGAAAACGTGATTTGTAGGTTACCCCAACACCTCGATCAAAAATTTGAAACCTTAAAATGTTTAATTTGGCATTCCTAGCTTCAGAATGACTGAAAAACACCTTTTATTTTTCTTTTTCCCTTCCTAAAAATTAGTAAAGAGAAAAGTTTCTGTTCTTGGCAGAGATTTTGTGGGCCAACTTTCAGGGCAAAATACTGGTTTTTGAGTAGAGCATTCTAATGGAAAAGCTGAGCACCAAATTCACACAAGGTTCTTCTTAATTATAGAAGCCAAAAGCTCTTCCAGATGTCTGTCAGCCCAATATGCTAGATGCTGCCATCACTGGTTTTAATAAAAGCTCATATTCAGCAAACTTTATTACTGATTTACTGTACATTACTTAAGCCAGAAAATGTTTCTGTTCTAAAAAGCAAGCAAGCAAAGCCCTGATATTTTCATCAGTTGCACTCCAGCATGTCATTCACTGTGTTAAATACCATCCCGGCTCTATTATTTTACTAAAAATTTTCTGTGGATTGCCATTGTTAAAACTGGAATTTCAGAAACTCTTGTGAAGAAGTACATCTGCGAGAAATGTGCGTGAACAAATTGCTAAATGGTGCGTGCAAAACAGGCAAAGCCACTAACAATGCAAACGCATACGTGACGTGCACAACCAGACAGGCATTTCTGTGAAAAGTTGCCTGTTTGTACATGCAACTAATACATACTCTAAAGAAAAATGGAAGCTGAAAAAAACCCAGGAAAATGTTACAGAACAAATACAGGGAAGTGTGATGTGACTTCGAATACAAAACTGAACAGAACAAAACCAATAGAAAAATCATCAGTCAGAGAGAAGCTAATGAAATCTCTGAATAATGATGTAATTAAAGTGCATTAATCATTATAAAAGATCATTTCCCTTTAAACATCTGCTCCCATTCACTTGGCAACAGTCTGGGCAGTGTCATGAATGATGGGGTTTTGGATTATGCTGAAGGGCATGTGTTATCGGAGAAACAGTGTAGAACATCCCCAGCTTGATGGGATTTGGGACAGCAGTGCTTTTCCTCAATTCAGGTATAGTATTAAGGAAATAAGGGGAAAAAAATTGGACATTGCTTACAGTGGAAAGGAAGGCCTGGTATAAAACTGAACCTTGCCTTCTTAGCCATGCAAACAAAATCTATTTTGATGCCAATGGATTCAAATACAGTAATTTCTCTAGGAAAAGAGCCCCTGCCCAGCCTGCTGCTTTTGAGAGAGCCTTAGGAGCCATAGTTGCTTGTAGGAGAGACCTTGTTCCTCCCCACTGAGAAGTAAGCACCACAAAAGCCTTCCTGACTGCTCTGCAGCAGCCTGGCTGTGCCAGCGAAAAGTGAGATTAGCTGTTTCAGGAGAAAAATCTCTTTTTCCTGTGGCATAAGTGTGCAGAAGGGCCATGGCCATCCTGTACTGCCTGACAGTCTGTGACTCTGAGGCATCTGCCTGCCTCCCCCATGTCTGAGGCTGCCTGTGGAGCGAATGCACATGTGGTTGGTAAAGCCTCTATCTTCAGGTATCAGTTTGGAACATAACTTCCTCCAGTGCAGTTAGGACTGAGTAAAGTTTCTCACGGGCTCTGTTTTGTTTAGCGTTAGGTCAGGAGTCCTGGATTGCCATTTTGGCTCTGCCATTAGACTGAGTCAGGGAGGAATTTATACAGCTAGGGACTATTTTATCCTTGTACAAATCTGGTACCTTGTTGCTTTTCTATGCGGTTGGTAGCATGGGCACTGGTTGTGGGCACAATTGGTGGCCCCTGTGCACCTGCATTTTTACTTTTGTCTTGCTGGGCTTTAGTGTCTAAGGCAGGGAGGGGGAGGCAGCAGTTGTGCTCATCTTACAGGGACACATCTGAAGGTGGAGTCCATTGAGGCCTACTAGCAAAAAGATCCACCAGCTGCAAAGCAACACTGATTTTTATGCTAGTCTTGTTTTCTTATCAAACCTGTAATGCACAGCAGTTAGGGATCATGGATCTCACAAGTGTTGGATTCAGAGTACTGTATTTCTACCCCATTGGTCATTTACTGCTGACTTAACTTTGCCTTCATGTGCACTTCAGTCGCAACAACCCTATGCAATGCTACAGACTTTGGGAAGAGTGGCTGGAAAGCTGCCTGGTGGAAAAGGACCTGGGAGTGCTGGTTGATAGCCGGCTGAACATGAGGCAGCAGTGTGCCCAGGTGGCCAAGGCGGCCAACAGCATCCTGGCTTGTATCAAGAATAGTGTGGCCAGCAGGAGTAGGGATGTGATCGTGCCCATGTACTCGGTTCAGGTGAGGCTGCACCTTGAATACTGTGTTCAGTTTTGGGTCCCTCAGTACAAGAAGGACGTTGAGGTGCTGGAGCGTGTCCAGAGAAGGGCAGTGAAGCTGGTAAAGGGACTGGAGCACAAGTCTTATGAGGAGTGGCTGAGGGAACTGGAGATGTTTAGCCTGGAGAAGAGGAAGCTGAGGGGAGACCTGATTGCTCTCTACAGCTGCCTCAGAGGAGGTTGTAGTGAGGTGGGTGTTGGTCTCTTCTCCCAAGTAACTAGTGAAAGGACAAGAAGAAATGGTCTCAAGTTCCATCAGGGGCGATTTAGATTGGATATTAGGAAAAATGGCTTCACTGAAAGACTGGCCAGGCATTGGAACAGGCTGCCCAGAGAGATGGTGGAGTCACCATCCCTGGAGGCGTTCAAAAAACATGTAGACCTGGCACTTTGGGCAATGGTTTAATAGACATGGTGGTGTTGGATTGACAGTTGGACTTGATGATCTTAGAGGTCTATTCCAACCTTAAAGATTCTATGGTTCTATGATAATCAGGAAGCCTTTACCGACCTCTGGACTTGAGGCTACATTGATGGTGAAAATGCATATGTCTATGTGGATTTCCAAGGGAGGCAGACAAGAGGAACCCAGATACCATTTGGAGAAAGGAGGGTTGGAGTTGTGGACATTGTACATGGTTATGCCACTTCATACCCATTTTTGGCAGTTCAGCAAATTCACGGAGGATGGATGCCTTTTCTGCCTGGGCAGAGTGCCTTTCCAGCTGTTAGGTGGGGAAAGTGAAAATGAACTCAGCTTTGGTCTTTGCTGTTCAGTTACAGGTAAAATACCGCAGCTGTTTTGTGCCTGGTACTTAAAATACTTACCTTCTTTGTAAGGGCTTTGTAAAAGTGATTGGAGAGGTTCAGATACAAAGTATGTAGTTTATTATTCTCTGTTTCTCTTAGCTGGTGAAGTCATACAGTGGTATTTAAACAGAAAACCAAAACAAACCTCTCTGCTTCTCTCAGAAGTGCATAGATTAGTATTGCAGAAGCCCAGTGTCATGATTTTCAGGTTTAAGTGCTGTTGTCTTTAACTTCATGATGTCTTAGATGTACTATGGATTGCTACCGGCCTGTTGCTGCCATGCCATCTGCTACCTATGAAGGTAGCTACCTATAAAGTCCAGCTGAGATAGGTCTCAGCATGAGAACAGGGTGCCAGCCGCCTTTGCAGGTAGCATGTTCAGTGCTGAGCAGAAAGGAGAGCCTGTGCAGGCTGCAGTGAGGTGTGTGCCTCGGATCCACTCGCCAGCATATGCCCTGTCTCCCATCTGTTCTTGCCTGGACCCTGCTCTGTCCAAGAGCACAGTTACACTTTTCCCTAATAGCCCTAATTCGCCCCGATAGCCTCAAGGGGACTGAAGTGAGGGTGTACTCTATGTGGCTGCAGAAAGCGAAGAAGGACATAGCATCTTTGAGTCCTCCTCTTTTCATCATTTGTTCCGGACTTGAATCAAAATGGTGTAGTCTTAGAAAATTCAAATAGGTTTCCGTGGCATTGTGTGTATTTTTAGAAAAAAAGAAATACAATTAATTGAAAAATTTAGCTTCAGATTTTCTTTGACCAGTGGGTTATTCACAGTTCCAGCTGCAGGCATTGGTTGCACAGGAAACAAGGGCAGAACATTATGGGGATAAAGATGTCCAGGAAACCTGCCTGGCATAAAAGCCATCGTGCAGATAGTGAATGCAACACACAATTTCCATACTGCGCTTACCCTGTTGTCTTTACCCAAACTTGCAAACATAGGTATGCAAATCTGTGCACTTAATGCCGTATTTTGTACCCATCTAAAACATCCAACACTTCCAAGGGAAGCGAGCAGCTCTGTTTCAAGCAAGTGTCTTCAGAGCCCACTTCTAAAAAAGTGTATAGCAGGACGTTAGACACATATTGAAAATGGTGGTATTTGGATGAATAGACTTATTCATGTTGTGCATAGGGTCTAAAATGATGACTTAGTCATTCTCTTTTCTGAACTGTTTGTGTAATGCATAGTTTGTAAGCTTTCATTATAGTGTAGGTCATGTGCACGCACAAACAATTATGTTTTTCTTTGGATTATGTCCTCTATATTGTTCATTTGAAATTTTCAGTTAAATCAGGTGAAGTTATTTATGTGAAAAGGACTGTCCTTGTATCACTGCCACCTAATGGTCAGGACATTGTAGTTAGGTGCCTGGTTTAAGTGGCCCCTGGAAAACTGATCCTATCACCAGTACTAACCTTACTATCTTGTAAGACTAGATAATGCTGTTAACTGCCCTCAACTTCATTTTCAGCCCTTAATAGTATGTTCTGGAGCCTCACTGGACACTGGTGTGTACATTCTCGGTCTGATGGCATATGAGAGATAAGGAAATTTAGTTTTCGTGTGGCAAAATCCGGGAAGAAAGGGAAAGCATTAATCAGATGGGTGTAATCTCCAAGGAAGCAAGTACTTCATTTTAATTCAGCATTTCCCTTTGATGAAAACTTTAGTGAATGTTATTATGTGGAATTTATATGAAGCCTGGGTTTAGGTAATCAGCTTTAATATTTATACTCTTAGGGAAAAAAATTGAATCATTAGTAAGCATGCATAATTAATGAATAAATTATATTTTTCCTTTGTTTTCCTTCAGGTATAAGGAAATGCTAGATCTAGTGATATCACCCAGCCTGACTGTAAATAGAGAGTGCCCTGACAGACTGAAGCTTAACCTTTCCAACATTTATGCCACGGCTCCAGATGACATAGAAGGTAGGTTGCCTCTTTTGCTTGCTGTTTACTGGCTTCTACATAATGTGTATATGTATGTAACCAAAGGGAACTGGCCATATGCAAGGCCGCTGCTTTGACAATTAGTTCTATAGTATAGTGAGCAACTGTGATTTTTGAGTATTGGTTTGTAGATGCTCCGGTTCTGGCTGAATCCTTTAGTTCAGCAACGGTTTGAATGCAAATGGCATTAAAATGTTTTATATGTAGATATGTATCTTTGTATAGTAGGTGCATACGTATGCACATGTGCACGTTTATGTTCCACTGGACTAACCAGAGGTATAAAACACATTTTGTGTAGAGCTGGTAGTTTTCGTTTGGACCCCACTAGAGCCATAGTGGTGGCATGAATGTGAGCCCTGTGCTGCTGCTGTTGGGTGCAGAGCATGTGGGCTCCCAGGCCCAGCAACGTATTGTGCAGCCAGAAAACGTTTTGCCAAAGCAGCCCCGTGCCCCAGTTTTTATCTCTCTGAGATCATTACTGTCATCTCCAAACGGTTAGCCCTGCTGGCCTCTGGTCTGAAATTTCACATTTGGCAGGTACCAAGGACAAATTCTTTCAGTGGTTGAGCCTCTGATGGAAATTTATCTGCTCTTCTCCTCCTCCTTCCCCCTCATTCATACTGTTCAAGTGAAGGAAACAGAAGAATGTTAAATCTGCTAAAAAAATTATTGGCAAGTGATGCAGCTGAACTAGTTCTCGCTAGTACAATCCCAGCTATTGTTTGCTGCGGTCAGGATCTGTCAGCCTTCCTGTTGGAGAGGACTTAGCAAAAGGCACTGGCTATTATGTTTTAGTAGTAGCTTTAACCCTTCATTTATAGGCTCTTAGAAGCTAAGGAGATGTTTTGCTTGCATGTTTGCTAAGGCATTAGAAATTGCGTGATTAAGTCACTTACATCATGACTGCCTATTTACAAAAGCAGTTGAAGGGATAACAATCTAAAAGAAACATCCTCTTAAATGTACGTGTTTGCAGAAAAGATTAGAGCTAGAAATGATTTTTAGATACATAATTTTGTAAATTTCTATTTGTTGTTATGTGACATAAATAAGAGCCAACATAGCACTTGTACTGTTTGTTAGTGACAGCTCCTGTTGATATGTTTCTTATAGAAATATTATGGTTATTTTTCTACAGAATGATCTCCTGTGCTACTAAGATTATGGTCTTTCCCTTGAAAATACTTCTTGTTAATTTGAAGAACCTGAAAATACTTGTGTGTGTGTCAAGTCACAGACTGCCAGAGCTTTTAATACAATAAATGCATGCAAATGCATGTTCTGTATTACACATTTAATTTTAATTTTAGCAAGTTTAGTTGCAATATTTATGTGGATGTCCATGTAGATGTCTGGCCTGCTGTTTTCATGGGTTCTTATCATGAGATGTGCAATTATATCAATATAATTTTCAAATGCACATTTTGCCTGTAGTCCTACACTTTCAGGTGGAAACACATGTACGTTTAACTTGCCTTTTTTTGGCAATGACAGTAGCGTATTGCATATTCACTTGCAGTAAATCCCCACTTGGCATGCTTGGCAAACGTGTTTATTCTGTATGTGCTTCTTCAAAAAATAAAATTTGAAGATTTAATATTTTTCAAATAGAGAAGAAATTAAGCCTATGCTCAAACTGTCCTGCTGTTTTTCAAATGTAAAAGGCACTATGAATTAAATGAATGAAAACTTAAAAAGTATATTTCTTCAGTGCAATTCTGTTTGGTAATGAGGAACAGTGTGACAGAAATGGTATAGGTTTTGTTTTCACAATCTAAAAATCTAATTTTCTAAACTGTTTTCTTTCAGGTAAGTCAAAGAAAATTTTTCATAGTGAGTTTGAAGGGAGTCAGGTAAGCCCAGCCTTGGATGTAAAAACAATCTTTTTTTCTATACCTGTGTATGTAAACGAGTGTGTACATTTGTATAATACTATCCTTTGTCAATTTTTAATTATTATTTTTTAAACTAAACCTCTCTCCCTATTGCTTGGGAAATAGGGTATTGTTGCCCACGTTTTATAGGTAGAGCAGCTAAGGCAGGGTTACTAGTGGGTTTTATTTTTCTAAGGTGTTTCAGGGTTGAAGGAGTCCTTATCGTTTTGCTTCTGTCAGTGATCAGGATGATTCTGTTAGCAGTTAGGGCTATATAGGTTGCACGATCCCTCCCCTGGCACACTCTCCTCCTGCTTGAGCTGTCCTTTGCAAACGGATCAGTGCTTAGAGCACGTGGTGTCTGCAGGAGACCCTGGAAAAGGACACAGGGGTAGCTGTGATATTTGCCCTTTTGTGGTGGTTTGGGGGTGTACTCAGCCAGAGGGAGAGCTCTGGCAGAACTGCAGGACAGCTTGGAAGAGGTGGGATCAGAAAGGGCGTCAGACTTGAGTTTGTTTTGAAGGACGGTGCAATGAGAAGGATATGGCACAGGAAAGCACTTTGGAAGAGGAAGAATGAAGAGTAGGTGATGAAAGTGTGTTTGAACACAGTGGCTGTATTTGGGTGAGTTTGCTGTTTCTTCTTCATACCCAGAAAAGAGAGGAAGGGGGTGGAACATGTGTCCAGCATGGTGCTAGGAAAGACATTAGATTTCAGCATACAGGCTGTGGACAGATGACTCTTGGAACCTGTTGCTGCACAGGTAGATGTACCCAAGCTGGGTTGTTCTCTTAACAATAATAACCATCAGTGTCGATGCAGTCGTGGCCAGCTCACACTGAAACCTGTTTCCCCCAGTTGTCAGTGCCTTTGTTACCATAGCCAGCTTCCCTAAAGCAATGATGGTGCAGTAACACTGCTCTGATACTGCACGTGAAACAGTTGGGAGACTCTTAAAGGTAAGTATATGGGGCAGGGAAGTGGTCACAGTCAGCTTGCAAGCACTTGGCTGGGTGACAGGTTGCAGGGGGAAGAGCCAAGAGGCTCATGAACATTACTGAAAAAAGGCTGTTTGCTTTCAGATTCAGAAAAGACCTCAGTAAGCACCTAAGCACAGACACCTTTATTTTCACATTTTTTTATCTATTCTAACGTACTGTGTAGTTCGTATTAAACAACTGCAATTATTCTGGAGAAGAGAGAAAGGAGTACCTGGATTTTTTTTTTTTTTTTTTAAATTTTGAATTAAGTTATCTCTGAAGATTTCTGAGTTTGTGAAAAAAGGACCTCTTTTTTGAAGAAAGTGTGTGATTTAGATGTTTCCATCTTTTAACCAAATGTTATTGTTTCCTAGGAAATTCCGCTCAGTCTTATTAAACTCAGTATTATGTTTCCTAGGAAATTTAGAATTTAAGTATTAATATTACAGTAAACATTATACAAATTAACATTCTAAAAATAATATTGTAATTAATACTTTCAGTATTATTACTACATATAGTAGACATTATACAAATTAACATTTTAAAAAAAGAATAATATCTAGTAAGTAATATTTTTAGTTAGAACTCATGCACCTCCATTGGGGTTTTTCCATAAACATGTGAACAAATATAAAAACGCATTTTTTAATGAAATTTAGTTTTAAAAGGTATCCAATTAAATGGCTGTGTTTTTAAAGATAGTTTGGTATGATCCCCATGTTATAATGTAAAATGATAAGGCCATATAAAATGCTGTGAAAAAGGGTTGTATAGGAAAGAACAATTTCAAAAGAGAGTTAAATCAGGAAGAATGAACATTCCAAATGTGAGCATGTTGGATCTTTTTGGATGTTCTTTCCAAGTTTATGGCATAACAAGTTAGTCAAACCCACAGGACTATTTGAATGTATTTAGACCTTATATTTATTTGCATATTTCATTAAATAAAACATGCTTTAAATGTTTAATTCACCAACTTATGAACAGCTGAACAAACGAAGTGATGCTGTTTCAGACAACTTCATACTGAAGATAATCTGTCTACAGCATTGCGGGTACGTCCCTGTCGATGCATGGGACAGCACTGCAGATGTTTCCTGCCTGGCAGTAGCAATGTGCAGGCATCAAGGGCACTGCAGGAATCTCCCTTTCCACCCAGCATGTGCATCTGCAGTTGAGAGATCGTCTTCTGCATGAGGTTGGGTGATATTTCCTATACTGAGTGACAAATGACACTATAGATGCCAGCAGCCAGTGTCAAGAATGGTGGCGCTGCTGTCAGTGGCCAACATGATGCTTGATGTTCTCCCTGGGTGGAGAAGCTGTGTGCAATTAGTCTGGTGTGTTCATTGATGCAGCCAGCAGATAGAGAGGCTGAATCTGTTGTGCCTAATGCCATTATTGATGATTTTTAGGGTGTTTTGGCATTTATAGTGCTATAATCTGACAGCTCCAGCCAGGAACCGAGAAGCAAAATTTGGATGGCATTATGGAGGCAACCTGCGTAATACTCATCGTGCCATTTAGGTACGATGTTTCCAGTACAACGTGCAGGCAACTTGCATGTTTTAATTTAGCTTTAAAAAAAAAAAAAAAAGATGGTGGCACATTTTTATTTGGTAGTGTTACAGGGCACAACTGTTTGGTACGTTGGAAGGCATCCTGCACGTGTAACTTGTGATGATACGTTTCCTACTGGTTTAATATTTTGATTGCTGGCAGGTCAATAAGGTAGTTATAGTTAACTCAAAAAATTTCAGAGTAAGGAGATTTACAATGTTGTATTTTTAATATTTGTTTTGATTTTATGTATTTTAATGAACAGTAAAGAAAGTGAGTCATGGTCTAGGAGAGTACCAAAAAAAGCAATAGGACAAAAAGTGCAGTGGGCTGAAATCACTTCAATAATCATAGTAGTTGCTTTTGTAGCCTTTAGCATATGAGTCATCCCAGCAAAGCCCAGCTTCATGAATGATATCAGTCCTGTGAAAAGAAGAAACTGGTAGATCAATCAATTAGTATCAACCTCAATTAAAAACTAAATCTATATTTGTTGTTAAGTGGAGAATAACTTTCTTACCTATTTCAGTTTGTGGAGATTCACTAAAAACGAAGTCTTCTAATTCCTGTGTATTTTTCTCAAACCAGCAGCGGTAAAAACAGTGATATCAGCTGGCCATAGAACAGAACATGATGAAAATCTAAGACCCTTTAATTTTGTTTTCCAGGCAGCAGCAAAGCAGCACCACAGTGTCCTCTCCATCTGTACTCCACAAAGTGAGTGCTCGTGCCAAGTGCTGTAATTTAAAAACCGTGTTTTGCTGAACAGCCATTTTGTGCAGACTTCTGTCACCTTAAAAAGCATTTGCCTTAAGCCCATCCACCTGTTCCCCTGCATGTCTCTGGCCCAGGAAAATAACTGGTTCTTAATCTTGTTAGATATGGAGTGAAAGAAGGTTTGAGGTACTGTGCACTGTACTTCTGTACCTCTGGGAATCCAAACCTTACCAGTTTGAATATTGTTGTGTTTATGAGTGACCAGAGAGTAATGTTTTGAAATGTCAGAGTTTTCCTATGACACTCGGTTGTTTGGCAAACTCTGAATGAAACATGAAAAATCAGAATGTTGATGTTGTTTTACTTTAACTAGCATATATTTTTCACAGTCTTAAAGTCCCCATGCATTTAGGTAGCTTAATCTTAATAGCTCATACTAGGAGCTATATACTGAAATAAACTTTTGCCCCAGTCTAATCAATTCTGAGTTCCCAAAATATTCACCATCATACTTTGGATATTATTTTATCAGAGTGTTCTACATGTGCTCTAAAAGATCATGTACAGTAACTATTCCCTTAGACCTTCTGTTTTCTTGTTCTGAATAGACATTATCCCCATATAGTGACTGTCCCATCTTTCCCAACAATGGCAACATACGGACAGACTCAGTACAGCGCGGGAATCCAGCAGGCTGCTGCATACACTGCCTATCCTCCTCCAGGGCAGCCCTATGGCATACCCTCCTACAGTGAGTACTCTGGCGTCATGTTACCTTTAAGGACATTTTCTTCTTGCTCCTAGAAAAATATATTTGAAGTCTTAAGCTTTAGAATGAAAGGTCATTTCTGCATTTGCAGTGTTCTCAGGCTTAGAGGGAAATCTGACTTTGTTAAAAATGTTAGGATTACTTTTGAACTATCTTTCAGCTCTTGATATCCTGGGTTATGATCTTACAAACTAGTTAAGTGCGGAGCCAGTCAGTAGGATGTTAAACAACATGAGAAACTCAGGTTCAGTAGGATGTACCACTTAGGAGTAGTAGCTGGTGAGTGTTCCCATGACTCACTGCCAAGACAGTCTCTTGCAGTAAATATGATATTTAGGTAAACTACACTTTGTCTTCCTTGATTCTTCTGGAGTTTCAATGATAAAAGCTACTTTAAGAAAAACTTTTTGTATATTATTACAGAAGAGCCAAGACACAGAGCAGAATAAGGCATGGGTGAAATGATAGAGTACTTTGTTTTTGGAGGACAATTCATATTTAAATGGTTGTTAACTGTAGGTGCACTAAACGTTTCTAACCCCAGTCAGCTTTGTTCCCTGCTTTCCTGCACACCCTCACCAGCAGCTGTGGGGAGGTGGTGCTGGGCAGGAGCAGCTGGGGGATTCAGGCAGGGGACTGATTAAACCGGTGCTCCTGATGGGGGAATGCCTGGTGAACCAAGTGTTAAGAGCGTCCTCAAGGTCTGCGTGGAAATACCGAGCTCTTGAGGGAGCTGGGAAGTTCTTTCCTTTCCTAAAGACCGAAGAGATACTGCTCTTGCTTAGGTACAGCTCCTTAACAGAAAGCTCTGGACTCCTTATTCCCAGCTGATCCTGTGAGTGCTGAGTCTTGTAGCATTAAAATGGCTTCATAGTTCTGTTTCCGCTCCTCTTTTTTCTTGTGCTCTTAAACACCTTCATGTGCTTGGCAAACACAGTATCCCTTCCCAACAAGAAGCTTTCATACAGCCATTGACAAGGCTTTTACTGAAGGGAAATTCAGTGCAGCAGTCTGGAAGGCCAGCGAAATGGGCTTGGCAGAGCCGAAGCTCTACCAGGATGATGAGAGGAATGTTTTGAGACCCTTTCCTGGAGCTACTTGTGTGTTTGCATCAGCTGGCTGATTTCCAAGGCAAACTCTGAACAGTTGTCCTGTTAGAGCAGGTGAAAGTAGAGCCATTTGCTACTGCCTAGAGTCTTTAGGGCATACATGTGTCAGGCCCATATGCCGCTTATAAATCCTGCGGATGACCTCTTAGCATCCTTGAACAGTGATTTCCCTCCCCCAGCCCATATACCCTCTCTAAGATACTCAACACAGCATATGAAAAACTCCACCTGGCTGACAACCAAGAACAATGAAGCAGTATTGGTTTTAAGCACAAAAATAAAACTCGGCCAGTTTCTAGACAAAACAGAACATTGTGTGGAAATTAATTTGGTGCTAAGTTATTTCACTGTCTGACAACAATTTTTAGACTTCCAAAAAGGCCCATTCGCTGAAGATTAATTGTAGCTGGAGTAGGTTGAGTGCTCGCATGCAGAGCGCTGATGTAATTGAAAAGCATGGGATATTATGAAAAGCGGCTTCTCTGCGCACACTCGCAAATCCCTTCACTTCCCCAGCAGTAATGGAGCCGGACGCTTGCACCAACACATGTTCATTCACTGTCCAAATAAACTTCCTGTGTTTCACAGTGCAGCATTGTCATCTTGTTGCTAACTTGTACTCAAATTGCATTGCAGTTATTCTCACCTAAAGCTAAAAGAAGTGGGTTTTTATTAGAGAAAACATTATCTGGGAGAACTTACTCCCAACCTGAGCAAATGCAGACTTGTTGCTTTTAAGAGTCATTTAGCTAGAAAACAGCATGTTTGGTGAAAGTCATGTGAATTCGACTTGTCTTTTGGCAAGTTTGCCTACAAGTGCTAAAATGACAGCAGCCTGGGAAGTGTGTAGATCCAAGGCCAGGACATCAACAGGGTCTTTGTTTAGTCCCAGCACTCGGGGTCTGTCCAATGGCCATTTTTTGTTTTGTGTAAATGGGCATGCAAAGGAGGAAAGAATCACGCCCAAAGGGTTCATAATAAGACGCACCTTTCAGCTGTTTGTTTTAATAATACAGCTGTACAATCTCCAGCAGCATCTCATAATAAAACATCAGCCCCTATCACTACCAGCAAAGGTTTCATCTTGCAATGTTTAATTCAACTATTGCTCTTCCCCCTGTAAATTGTCAGTTTAATTGCCTGATTTTAGTAATGAAAAGATTTTTGTGGCTTCAGGCCTTACCTATTGTTCCTGAACTGTATGTTATATCTCACTGAATAGATGATAACTCTCCTGTATGACTTGCCAATAAATATTTTGCTACCAAAGCTGAAAATACAATGCAAGTAAAACATAACTCTGTTGAGAACAAAAGTCTTAAGGTTATTTTGCTGAAGGTCCTGTTGCTTTGTTAATCATTGCTTGCATCTGATAACTGTTGAGAAAGTTCATGAGCAATGAGTTTGTTTAATTCTAAACCAAAACTATTTGTTCAGAAATTGTTTTTGAAAACAATATTATTCATGGTTGTTTCCCCATCGTAGCAAAAGTTCATTTGTGTGTGGATACAGGATGTAGCTGACTCTGACTTAAATATTATTTGTGATGAAGTTGCTTGACTCCATTAAGAGACCTGTTTGGGTAATGCAGATAATTTAAAAAAAATACAAGAAAGTGTAGGAAAAAAATATTTTATTACGTTAAAATCTAGCTGAAAAATTGTTAATTCCTAAACTTGCTTTTTTACACCTTTATATGACGGACACTCAATTTCTGCTTTTGGTTCCTACTATATGCCCCAAAGGCATCAAAACAGAGGACAGCCTGAGCCATTCCCCAGGCCAGAGTGGGTTTCTTAGCTACGGCTCCAGCTTCAGTACCCCGACTGCCGGACAAGCACCGTACACGTACCAGGTGCATGGTGAGTACAGCTTGATGCCTTACAGGATGTGCTGTGAGAAGTCAGAATCTTATAACCCCGTATAAACTAACTCTTCTTCCGTTGCAATTACGATGAAAATCATTGGTATTAGGTACAGGCAGTCAGGATAGGGAAGGAGGTAAGTCTTCATAGATCTGTTTTGCTCATCAAGGAATTAATTTCTGGCTGAGGTACAGGATTTAGCACTAGTATACCTTAGCAAAACTTCACATATGATCAATATAAGCTTTGCCTTTCTGCAGAAACTGTGTTTTGGTTTTTTTTAATTAATTTTGTGACTGCATACCTGGGATTGTTGTGTTAGTGTGAATTCCTAGATTCTGAGTGGAAGCAAAACAAAGGTGGTTTTACACTTCATGCAAACAATACTGTTAGTATTATGCTTCGGCCATATGCTGTCCTGAACAAACTGCTCTGTAGTTAAACTTCTCTATAGTCTCTCCACTATTTCTTATAAAAAGCTGATACCTTGGTACTAATTTTTTTTTTTTTTTACTGTTAAGACATAACTAATACTTGCTAAGATATATCTGCCTGTTTTCACTCCCAAAGTACCAACATCATTAATTACCTACGTGCTACTGAGGTAAGGTTCAGAAGAGCTGAGCTGAAAGCAGCTGTTTTTTCTTCAAGGTTACTGAGCTAAATCTAGTAAGTTTAGAATAACTTATTGTTGTCAAAATAATAATTTATTCTAAAATAATAAGTTGGATTCTGTTAAGGCTTCAAAGACAGTGCCTTGTGCTTGTAGCTTTACAACACTTAGTTTGCTGTACTACCAGGAAGGTCAAAATATACTTTTATTTCTAAATATAAAACTTAAAGTTCTTTTCTGGTCATTCCATTTGAGAAGCTGTATGAAACACCAACTTTCAGGAGACCGAATGTTGACTTGCCAACTCCAAGAAAGTCATAAAAGGGTTTAAATCTGAATTGCCAAGGAGTGCAAAGTAAATGAAAATGGTGGAATTTAATTTATGATTCCCTTTAGCCTGTTTCTAGCATGGTATTTGATTTCTTGGAGCGTTTTGGTGCTATTGGTTAGAAACCTGAACTGCATATGGCAGGTTTTCATTATTTGGCTGGTACTCCATGTGCTTTTTCCTCCAGTGTGTACTGTTCCTGATCTTTGTGAATTATGTTGATTTTTTTTTTTCCTGAGACTTGCTGAGTCATTAAGCATGAATTGGAGGAAGAGTACTAGAATTTGGATGTACTCTGTGTGATCTGAATTTAAAACCACCTATCCAGGCAATCCTGCAAAGAATGCTGATAAATTCTACTGCAGCAATAGCAGATGAGGGAAACCATACAATAACCATTTCAGCTTTATCAATCATTTTACATAGAATAAGAGTTATGAGTACATTCTAAGAAATAGATTATGTCCTTAAAATGTCACTCCATCTCTGTGCCTCTACCTTGAGTCCCGTGGGAGTGCAGTTTCATTGCTCACCTGTAGGCCTCATATTCTGAGTCCACTTTGGTATTTGTATTGAACTTGACTAGTAAAAAGTAAAGATTAGATTTTGTCTCTGCTAAACCTCAGCACACCTGCATTTGAAAGTGCGTTGCATTAAGCATGAATTGCCATGAGTGCATGAACTGAGCCAAGTGTTAAAAAAACATTTCCAAGAGATCAAAACGCAAATATTCTTGCTGTTTCTTGGCAAATATCTTCATTACTGTGAAAGATGTGGCAGTAGCACAAATGAACATACCTCAAGTAGTTTAAAATTGCCTGATTTAGGTGCTGGTGAATTGGAAGAGTCAGGAAGCCCATCAGCCACACAGGCTAAATGTGCTGCACCCTTTACTGCTGTGACTGTATGTATCCAGACTCGTTAGTTTAAAAGCAGCTCAGGTACAACTGCAGCAGCTCTCCTGGTAGCAGCGCTAGTCCGCCTGTACCACGTGCACATGAGCTCTCTGAAAGGCTGTTTCACTGCAGGAAAAAAGTCACTCCAAGGGAAGTGAATTCACTAGAGGGAAGGTGAATGCACATGAGGATAAAGCTCTGACTTAGCTTTGTCCTTCCCTCAGAGATTTTCCAAGGGTTGGAAAACTAAAGAGGAATTGCACAGCTTTCCCAAGTTCTTGTAGAAGCAATGGGAAGGGAGAGAGATCAAGCCTCTCACTTTGCTTTTTTATGTTGTTGGGGGTCTTTTTTAAAACCTCTAGGCAAAATGCCCTTTTGTGTCATTACACAAGGGAAATAGCTATTTCCCTTGCAACACCGTGTCAGTTCTCTCAATTGTTCTCAACCCCGGATGTGAAAGGTGGACAGACACATCCACTTTGATTTTAAGTCTGAGAGCAAGTAAAATCCTAAACAGTTATGAAAACTGGGAAGCAAGGTAAACCCCATTTTATTCTAGAAATTATATAAGAAAGCAGAAGACTGAGAGGTGACCTTCTGCTGCAACTTCATATGCTAGTTTTGTCAGAGCACATATCTCTAACGCTAAGGTGGTTTTTGTGGTTTGAATCCCTCGTGGGACATGCTGGAGACACCTGGCTTGAATGTGGCACCAAAGAATAAAAAACCCATGTAGCCTATGTGTTGGGCTTTTTTGTCACCTCCTTTTTTGACTCCTATAAGCTTCATCCATCCTGCTCCTAACCAGAGTTCAGTTTTTGGCTTCTGTTTTGCTCCTTGAACATATCGATCTTATTTGGAGATTGTGTTACACTTTCAGCAGGGGAAGTCCTCTCTTTTTTATTAAAACTGTGGCTTGCAGTTACCAGCAGTTGTAGGTGCTGGAGTGTCACAGCTTTCATCGATAGGCTGAAGTGCCAGGTCTGTGCTCTCCTGGAGCAATAGCAGCCATGCTGCCTTCTGACTATATGCTGCTGTATGATTAGATACTGATGGCTGTAACGCCACTATTGACAAATTACTGGTGTTTTCTTTTGCTGCCTTGGAAAATCACTGTATTCCTGTCTAGGTTTCTGTTGTTTTTTGTTTCCCCAGAACACAGCTTCCACATGTGCTTTGTGTTAGCTTAGAAGAATCTGAGCTGTTTGAGAAGGCAAACTCTTGACTCACTTGGGACTGAAGTTTTTAAGATGGCCCCTTTGTTCAATCCAGAGGTTTAGACAGGCAAATTCTGTGCATCAGCACTTGAAAATGTTACACTTGCAAACAATAGTGACACAACCACGTGTTGTACCAAAAGAGGCTGGGAGGAACTTCATGCATATGAGCATGAATATGCCTGAAGTGCTTTCAGATAATTTTCCCCAGAGCGATGCTATGGTATTAGGTGAAATCACTTCTTTTCAGATTTTTATGCCAGGAAGATCATTTCAGCAAGCTCACTAAGCCTTTAATGCAAAAGAAAATGGAGAAAAACAGTTCGTGCAAGTGGCAGGTGCTTACTCCAAGGCAAAGGGAGAAGGAGTAAATGTGTCTTCCTGTTGTAAACAAGTATTTCCACCCTTCTTCTCCTTGCTCATGAGAGAAACAGTCTGAAGCTCCCTGACAGTATGGTTTATTTACCTTGCTGAGTGCTAGTGAAAGGTTTGAGTGAGAAGCCAGGAGGCTTCCTGTGCTGAGTGCTACCAAGGAATGTGTGCTCAGTGCTTTCCCACGCCACAGCACTTGGGGGTGGGGAGGTGATCGTTCTGTCTTCCTAATGCGAGCAAGCAACTCTCTGTGTCACCCAGCTCCAGGATCATTGAGACTTTTGCTCAGTTCACATCAGTCCTTTTGGTCACCCCATTGCTGACCCAGGCGAGGACTCTGGGTGATGGGCTAAACCAGCTGAAAAGGGCAAATTTTATTTACCTGTTTTTATAAAATCAAATTTCAGGGGGACTCTCTTAGAGTCAAGCTCTTAACCCCCACCTCAAGGACAAAATATTTACTGCATCATGTTGAAAGAGAGAGATTGAAGAGGGTAGCTTGCTGGGGATCAGCAAGGAAGGGTATCTCCAGGAGTGTGTGCTGCTCAGTTTTGTATTTTAAAGTGGGAGGAAAAAAAATAGTTCTTAAGCTAAGCTCTGCAAGTATTGTAAGATGGTAATACTTCAAGTACATAAGTGAAATGACTGTGGTATTGTTTGCTTCCATTGAGAACCAGCTCCGAGATCCATGTAGTGAAGTCACCTGCAGGCAGGCATGGGTGGTCAGACTGTAAATGTTGAGCAGATCATGCAGCCTGCATGATCCCTCTTCACTGTTCCCTCATTTATGAGTTATATGGTCCAGCCAGCAAATAGGCACCCATTGTAGGATGTTATGTCAGTCACCAAGGGATAAATAACTTCTTGGGTAACGAATACTTTGTCTCACAGAGCTCTAGGACAAATGTTCTCCTTCAGTAAGCGGCAATGTAGTTGGTGCTGGTTTGTTTGCTCTCATGTTTCTTTGGTACCAGCACTACCTCTGGCTGGGATACATGGGTCAGGTTGCAGCCTCACCTCCTGATGATTGTTGTCAGTAACATGGTGCTTCTGAAGCAAAATTCTGCTCTCTCTCAAGTCTGTTCATTTTCATTATAAGCACAGATGATGCAGATGTAATGGGGTAGCATTCAGCTTTTCATCTTTAAGTCCAGTTATCAACTGTATCCTGATTCTGGAGTGAGAACAGAATCCATTAAAAAGCAAGAATGAGGATAGAATGTTCTTTTGGTCATTATGAATGTAAAGAAAAAAACTCCTATTTTACAGCCAGCCAGAAGGGGAAATCTATTTTCGTGCTTCCCTGGCATGAAAATAAATTAAATGTGGAAGGGTTTATAAGCTAAATAGCTAATGCAGTGTGTCATACACATATATAAATATAAAATATGAGATTGGCAAGGTCTATAGCTCATAAAAATAACATGTAATTGTATCACAAAGGCATTATAGATTGAAATAATGATTTTAATTGCCACGTAACTGGATATGATAGTATATCATCAGACTTTGAGTAACATTCAAATAGACTGAAATCTGCTATTCACTAATTTACTCTGAAGAACTGACTT